ACTGATAGAATCTGAGCCAGGCCTCCTGAAGGTTAGGAATCACAATAGGCACAGGGGGTGCCTGAGCTGGTCTCGCTGGAGAATCTGCGGCTGGGACCTGATCTGGAACAATGGGAGGGTCTACAGGTACTGCCCCGGCTGCTGCGCGTGCTGCACCCCTACCACGGTCTCGACCGTGACCTCGACCCCTCGTAGGGCCTAACTGGTGGTACTGGTGGCTGGTCACCCTGTCCGGTAGTGCGAGTCCTCACCACCTGTGAGAGAATGAAACAATAGAAGTTTAGTTACCATAATCTATGGATTTACACGATAAGAATTCAACAATATGGAATTTTCCTAAAGGTTCTACAACCTCTCGAAGATAAGTACAGACGTCTCCGTACCGGTCCGCGAGACTCTACTAAACCCTCTCATGACCCGTGAGACCTATATAACCTAGGCTCTGATACCAACTTGTCAAGACCCAAACTACCTAGCCGTGATGGCGCCTATTGTGGTACTAGGCTAGCCGACTCATTACCCAAAACATGCAACATTTCACTTTAGAAATATATTTTCAACTATTTAATCATATAAATCTTTCGTAAGAAATCCAAAACAAGGAAAAGAATGTAGAAATAAAAGCCCGACATTGGGTATCACTAATCATGAGCATCTACGAAACAAGTCTGAATGTGCTAAGACCAATACAATCTTGAAAATCTAATAAAATAGCTATAGGAAAATAGGAGGGAGAAGAACAAGGTTGCGATCACCATGCAGCTACCTTGCCAACTCATAGGAGGGAGAAGAACAAGGTTGCGATCACCATGCAGCTACCGTGCCAACTCCAAGGATTCGCGATGGATGAATCAACACCCGCTCGAACGTCCAATAACACCTGGATCTGCACACAAGGTGCAAGCAGTAACGTGAGTACCCCAACTTAGTAAGTAACAACCATAAATAAAGGCCGAGTAGCAGTGATGAGCAGTAAAACACATTATAATCATAGTGTGAAATCTCAATGAAACAATAAGCTTACAAATTAGTATTTGAGTCAAATCATCTCGTAAAATTTCAGTTTTGATGAAAATCAATTATAGATATTTTTCAACAGTTTCAGTAGAGGCTCAATGCAAAATAGAGTGAAGATAATGAAGTCATAAACAACTCCTCGGGCAAAATATCACTCATAAATAGCCCCTCAAGCAAGCCTTATAGTCACTCATAAACAGCCCCTCGGGCATACCTCACCATCACTCATGCCTCCAAGTCACTCGTCACTCGCACTCAGTAGGTACCTGCGATCATTGGGGGTGTGTACAGATTCCAGAGGGGCTCCTTCAGCCCAAGCACTATAACAAGCCAAATTATGGCGTCAACCACTCAAGCCCTCGGCCTATAATAAATATGTTGCGGCGTGCTGCCCGACCCCATATCATATCCTCACAAATTAGGTCCTCGGCCTCACTCAGTCATAAACATCACAAGCCACTCGGACATTTTAGTAATATAATGGGAACTCAACATAAAACAACATTTATGTGTATCAAAATAGAGTAATATAACTGAATTATGCAGTAATCAGGTAAAATCATGACTGAGTATAGATTTCAAATCAAAACAGTGAGAGGATAGTAAGAAAATGCCCCTGAGGGTCCAAATAGTACTGGCACGAGGCCCAAACATGGCTTCAGCCCAAGTTATAAGAATTCTTTCTAAACACATAGATATTATGTAGCTTTCAACAAAATACACAACTCTACAGTTGGTATGGGACGGACCAAGTCACAATTCCCAACAGTGCACGCCCACGCACCTATCACCTCGCATGTGCGTTACCTCAAAGTAGTAAAACAATGTGAAATTCGGGGTTTCATACCCTCAGGACTAGATTTACAATCGTTACTTACCTCAAACCGGACAAAACTTTAACCCGCGATGCTCTTGCCTCTCGACTCGGTCTCCAAATACTCTGAATCTAACCAAAATCAGTATATTATCATCAATATACGCTAAAGGAATGAATTTCACATAAAAATTATCAAATTAGACCAAAAATCCCGAATTTGGCTCAAACCCGGCCCGAGGCCCACGTCTCAAAATCCGACAAAAATTACAAACTAGAAAGTCCATTCACTCATGAGTCTACCCATATCAAATTAATCAAAATCCGACATCAAATGACCATTCAAATCCCCAAAATTATCTCTCCAATTCTCTTCCATTTCCCCCCAAATTTCACTCCAAATTCCCAATTTAGATGATACAAATCAAGACACAATCATGGAATTTAACCACAATCAAGTGAAGAACACTTACCCCAATCACTTCTCTGAAAATCCCCTCTAAGATCGCCTTCTCCCGAGCTCTCTATTGAATTTTGGAATTATGAACTCAAACCCTCGTTTTGAACTTTAAATATTCTGCCCAGTTATTTCCTTAATCGCGATCGCGAAAATAGCCTCGCGATCGCAAAGCACAAAAAAGTTGCCCCACATTTAAACCTTACGTGATCGCAGAAACACACGCGCGATCGCGGATAACAAACTCACAAAGCAACGCGAACGCGTGCATTTCTACACCATCGCATAGAGTGATTCCTTCACCTCACGATCGCTCTAAATCCTTCTACGCGAATGCGACCTCAGCCACGCGTTCGCAATAGCCAAACTCAATAGACCTTCGCGATCGCAGGCCCCAACCGGTGATCGTATAGAACAATTTCCTAGCTGCCCTCAATAGACCTACGCGATTGCAGCCCCACTCTTATGATCGCGTATAAGGAAACCAACAGAAGAAAATACAACAGCAACAACAGAATCTTAAAAGTAGTCGAACCTTTTAAAGGCCAAATTACCAACGAAAACTCACCCGAGACCCTCGAGACCTTAACAAAACATATCAACACGTCCCATAGCAACATTCAAACGTAGTCGAACCTTCAAACCACTCAAAACAATACCAAAAGACCAAATTACCCTCGAATTCAAGCCTAAGAACTTATAAACTCTCAAATTTCACAAACGACGCAGTTCATCACAAATGAGTCTATTGGTGTTGTCAACTTCCTTGTAGACAATGATTCTTTAGTTCATCGTTTGTTAGCTCAGCCTCTAAAATAAAAAAAAGTATATAATTAATTAATTAATTATAAAAATATAAAGTTATCATGAGTCATATCAAGATAAGAATAAAATAACTTCTTTCAAAAATTGTAAAAGCAAATTAATGTTACTTTACTTCATTGGAAGGCTACATAGAGTCTCCAACAAAATATATTAATAATTAAACACTCATGCTTTGCAAGCCTAAATCTAGCATCGTATATTAGACTAAGATTTAATTTGTATACACAAATAATGTAAAAATATTTTAACAAATATATAATATTGAAATCTGAAATAGAAGGTGCAATTGTATACCTGGATTATCCAATATTCTTCTTTCTTCATGTAAGTTATTATCTGATAATAAAATCCATGTTGCCTCCCAAACACATTCTGGTCGTGCCATTGAATTTCATAATAGTAACATAGCAAATAACTGCCTAAGATATGATGGCATTCCCCAGTTACTTGCCTCCTTTATGGCATCCATATATTTTTTATCATCATCTAATAAACCCAGTACGTAACATGCATCTCTAAAAGTTAGATGTCCATGATTGTTGATACTGCATAAATCCTCACAGCACTTAGGTCCTTTAATGACATTCAACAACATTCGAAGGTAATATTGCTCTCCACTTCCAGGCGGTACAAAGAATGTTCTCCCTATTGAAAATGCAAAATTTCTTCTTTTTTCCAACTTTTTTAGTTTTTAATTCCACACAAACTTAAGAGGAAATTCTGCATAAGTTAATTCTCTTGCTTCTTCATATGTCTTATTTGCTTCAAACCAGCTTAAAAACTGTGATTCCTTTACACTTGGTCTATTGGCAACATCATCAATTGGATCATCATCAGAGGAAGTAATTGTTTGTTCATTTGATAGATCAAAGGAAAGTCTTTCTACCGAAGGTTCTCTATGATGAATTGAAAATTTAAAAATTCTCCTAGTAGCTTCACACAGTGATATGTATCGACAATCATAATACATTTTTATTTCATCAACAACCGATGAGTCTTCCTCATGCACACTTTGAGAAAAAGCTGTTGTCACACGATCATGACCTTTATTAACGTACTTAAATAAGTACTTGATTGATCGAGATTGATTGCACCATTCAACATTTATATGTGCACCATACTTCAACAATAAATATCTATTGTGTGGCACCACATACCTGTTATCCAATTCAGTACCTTCTTTCTAGATAGTTCTACCATTGTCCCTTATTTTATAAACAGGATATCCATCTTCATCGATTATTGTATTTTCTACAAACTTCTTTGGAAAGTGTTTTGTACATCTACCATTACGCATATAATGAGACGATTTTCTAGCAGAACCACACGGGCCATGCATCATATAATTCTTCACGGCATTATAATAATATGGATCGACCAATTCATCTGGTATTTCTGCTGAAATTATTTGATCTATGTCTCCAACATTTGGACATTTATTTTGAAGAAAGAGCAATATGTGTGCATGAGACAACCCTCGCTTTTGGAATTCTATAGTATATCACTGCAAAAAATAATAATTTACGATTGGGGTAAGTAGTTATAATTTATATGTAAAACAAAATTTATTAAATCAAATTATAAATCTGATAATAATTTATTATAAAAGATTAATTATATACTTGATTTAACTGCTCCAAAAATTTGTTTCTCTTTCAAATCCTTTATTAAACGATCCAATTTGATTTTGAACACCCTAGACAAAATGTCTGGGTGATCTTCTGGTTGCGAGCCCCTACTCTTTACGAATCTACTAATCTCAAGCGACTTTGGGTTGCAAGTAAATGTAATGAAGAGATTTGGATATCCATCCCACTTGCAGATCGCCTGAGCATCTTGATAATTTTGAATCATGTATCTTGCCTGGATGAAAGAATTACCCTTTACCTTGAGAAGAAGGATTTATCTCTCCATGTAAAACTGCATCTTCTAATCCTTTATACATATGAGCTCGCATTTGTTTTTGATGAGTTTTGATATACTTCAACCTAGACGATTCAACCATTGTAAATCCATCGACCAAGAATTGTTGAAATAATCTTCTTGAGTTCACAATTGTTGGTACTTCACCATTCCTTTCTTGAACTTTGTATGCGAAATATTCACGCATGCTAACAAAATGCCTTTCTCCACTTGATTCATCATTTCCATTTAAAGGAATGTCTTCCCTATAACCATCTTCACCAAATGGAAACAATAAAGGATGCTGAAGATCTAGATAGGCGGCATTCAACTCCTTTATCCTTTGTAGTTGTCCGGATTTTGTTTCAACAATGATGTCTCGGTCAAATCTAGATACATAAAAATCTCCAACCATCTCACGACCCAAAACTCAACCCGTCGTAATAACGACTATCGTGGAACTAGGCCAGCCTCAACCCGACGTAATCCAAAGCCACAATGCTAACATTTAAAACATTTGCGGAAAACTTTTATGGTTTAAATAAACTGCTTAAAACATAAGGAAAAATTCATAATACGATACAACCGGGCCAAAACCCTATCATGGAGTACATGAGCGTCTAGAGAAATAGCATAGTCCACTACAATGTTTACTAAGTACAACTGAAACACATCTAAAATAGAGAAAGAGGGTCAAAGCCTGCGAACGCCACGCAGATACCTCAACAATCTCCAAAGCCTTCAACCTCGATCAATGACTGCCACTGGGACCGAAAGTACCTGGATCGGCACACAAGGTGCAGATGGTAACGTAAGTACACCAACTCAGTAAGTAACGAGTCCAAACTATGGACTGAAAGGTAGTGACGAACTCAACCTCATTAGGGATAATAGAAATAACGTACAGAAACGTAAGCATGCTTTCAATTAAATAAACAGCTCAAAATAGTGAAATAGAGCTGTAACGACCCGACCGACCGTTTTGAGTATTTGCACTTTGCTCGATTGTTTGAGGGCATGAGTAGCTCCGTATGAAGTATTATGACTTATGTAAATCATCGGTTTTGGTTTTCAGGTTATTTGGAATTGATTTAGAAGAATGATTCTCAGCTAGAAGCTTTAAATTTGAAAGGTTTGACTGATTTTTGACTTTCTAGAATTTGACCTCGGATTAGATTTTTGATAGTTCGGTTAGCTCCGTCGGGTGATTTTGGAATTAGGAGCGCGTCCGGATTGTGATTTGGAGGTCCGTAGTAGAATTAAGCTTGAAAAGTGAAAGTTGGAATTTTGGAAAGTTTGACCGGGAGTGGACTTTTTGATATCGGGGTCGGATGCTGATTTCGGAAGTTTGATCAAGTCCATAATGTCAAATGTCACTTGTGTGCAAAATTTGAGGTCAATCGGACGTGGTTTGATAGGTTTCGGCATCGGTTGTGGAAGTTTGAAGTTTCAACTTCATTGATTTTGAATTGAAGTGTGATTCGTCCTTTCGATATTGCTATGTGTGTTTTGAGGCCTCGAGTAGGTCCATTCATGATGTGGGACTTGTTGATATGTTCAAACAGGGTCCCGAGGGGCTCGGGTGAGTTTCGGATAGGTTTGGGTTATGTTGCGCTCGTTTTTTAATGTTTCGAAGTCGTTTTTCAAGTATAAAAAGAAAATGAGCTCTAATTTCTTTTTTTTTTATTGAATCATTAGATTCGTATCGTAATCATGGAGCTATAGCAAAAAGAATCATCAAATTTGGACATCGTATGAGGATTTTATGGTCATTTTACTAAGATGGGTTGCCATATTTTTAAGATTAATTACGAAGTTGCTACTGAATTTGTATTTAAAAATCTGCACTATTTTCAAATATTGAAACCAACATATCTCCTTCAATATAAGATCAAATTGAGTGATTGAAGAGCCTAACTTGACTAAAATTTCACAAGGAATCCATTGGAAGCATCAAAGCTAGTTTCGGGATTGTTTAGCATGAGAATCGAGGCAGAATAGCTGGCAGAAAATATATAAAATAATGGTTTGTTCATTTGGTCATATTTTGAGTTGGGGAGCTCGGATTTGGGCGATTTTGTAGGCGATTTTTACCATATGGATTGGGGGTAAGTGTTCTCTACTCGGTTTTAGTTATATTTCATGAATTCATCTTCGTTTTTGGCATTTCATTGATGATTTCAAAGTGAAATTTGAGGGTTTTTGCCTAAAGTTTCATAAAGTGAATTTTTAAGTTTTGAACATCGATTCAGAGTTGGAATTGGATGAAACTAGTATGGTTGGACTCATAGTTGAATGGATTATCGTATTTTGTGAGTTTTGTCGGGTTTCGAGATACGAGCACGGATTGGGCTTTTGAATAAAGATTCGACCTTTTTCAATTGGGATTGATTCCTTTAGCATTGTTTGATGTATTTGAGTTGTTTTTGGTTTGTTTCGAGCCGTACGGCGGCCGGAACGCGCGAGATGGCATTTTAGAGCATCACTTGGCTTGCTCGATATTGGAATTGGATTGTTTGAGCTAAGTAACTATTGTAAATCTAGTCCTGAGGGTATGGAATCCCGGATTTCGTATCATTTTAATATTTTGAGGTGACGCGCATGCTAGGTGACGGGCGTGTGGGCGTGCACCGTTGGGGATTGTGACTTGGTCCGTCCCGTAGCAACTATAAGTTGCGTATTTGGTTGAAACTAGATGATACTTATGTGTTTTAGAAAGAATTTCTATAAATTGGGCTGAACGCCATACTTGGGCCTTGTGCCAGAGCTGTTTGGACCATTAGGGGCCTTTTTCTTACTATCCTCTCACTGGTTTCGCCGATGGGTGCGCCTGTTCTATTTGTGAAGAAGAAGGATGGCACGATGAGGATGGGCATTGATTAGAGGCAGCTGAACAAAATCACAATAAAAAACAAGTATCCTTTGCCTCGTATTGATGATTTATTTGACCAGCTTCAGGGAGTGAGAGTGTTCTCCAAGATTGATCTCCGATCAGGGTATCACCAGTTGAAGATCAGGGATTCGGATATTCTTAAGATGGCTTTCAGGACTCGATATGGTCATCATGAGTTCCTTGTGATGTCTTTTGGGCTGACCAATGCCCCAGCAGCGTTCATTCATTTGATTGATGAACAACGTGTTTCGGCCTTATCTCGACTTGTTTGTGATTGTTTTCATTGATAATCTTCTGGTGTACTCGCGTAGCCAGGAGGAGCACGTTGAGCATTTGAGAGTTGTGTTGCAGCGGTTGAGGGAGGAGAAGCTTTATGCAAAGTTCTCCAAATGTGAGTTTTGGCTCAGTTCAGTGGCTTTCTTGGGGCACATGGTGTCCAGTGAGGGTATTTAGATTGATCCGAAGAAGTAGAGGCGGTTCAGAGTTGGCCCCGGCCGTCCTCAACCATAGAGATTTGCAGCTTTCTTGGGTTGGTGGGTTATTACCGTCAGTTCGTTCAAGGATTTTCATTTATTGCATCACTCTTGACCAAATTGACTCAAATGGGTGCTTTATTTAGGTGGTCGGATGAGTGTGAGGCGAGCTTTCAGAAACTCAAGACTGCCTTGACCACAGCTCCAGTGTTAGTTTTGCCATCAACTTCAGGTTCATACACTGTGTATTGTGATGCTTCTAGAGTTGGTATTGGGTGTGTTTTGATGCAGGAGGGTAGAGTGATTGCTTATGCTTCTCGTCAGTTGAAGCCCCATGAGAACTACCCTGTTCATGATTTGTAGTTGGCAGCCATTGTTCACGCGTTGAAGATTTTGAGGCATTATCTCTATGGTGCGTCTTGTGAGGTGTTTACTGATCATCGTAGCCCCTAGCACTTGTTCAAGCAAAAGGATCTCAATTTGAGACAACGTAGATGGTTAGAGCTGCTAAAGGATTATAATTTCACTATCTGGTACCATCCGGGAAAGGCCAATGTAGTGGCTGATGCCTTGAGTAGGAAGGCGGTGAGTATGGGCAATTTGGCAAATATTCCTGTTGGGGAGAGACCTCTTGTAGTTGAGGTTCAGGCTTTGGCTAATCGGTTCGTGAGGTTGGGTATTTCGGATCCCAATCGGGTCTTAGCTTGCGTTGTTTCTCAGTCTTCCTTGTTCGATCGCATTAGAGAGCGCCAGTATGATGATCCTCATTTGCTTGTCCTTAAGGATAGAGTTCAGCACGACGATGATAGGGATGTGACTATTGGTGATGATGGGGTATTGAGGATGCAGGTCCGAATATGTGTGCCCAATGTAGATGGCCTTCGGGAGTTGATCTGGAGGAGGCTCATAGCTCGCGGTATTCCATCCATCCAGGTGGTGCGAAGATGTATAAGGATTTAAGACATCACTATTGGTAGGGAAGAATGAAGAAGGATATTGTGGGATATGTAGCTCGGTATCTCAATTGTCAGCAGGTGAAATATGAGCATCAAAGACCGAGTGGCTTGCTTCAGCGGTTAGATATTCTAGAGTAGAAGTGGGAGGGGATCACCATGGATTTCGTAGCTGGACTCCCACGGACTTCGAGGAAGTTCGATGTTATTTAGGTAATTGTGGATCGGCTGACCAAGTCCACGCACTTCATTCCTGTGTGCACTATGTATTCTTCGGAGCGGTTAGCTGGCATTTATATACAAGAGATTGTTCGCCTGCATGGGGTTCCAATTTCCATCATTTCAGATAGAGTTACTCAGTTCACTTTGTAGTTTTGGAGGGCCGTGCAGAGAGAGTTGGGTACTCAGGTTGAGTTGAGTACAGCTTTTCACCATCAGACGAACGGGCAGTCCGAGCGCACTATTCAGATATTGGAGGACATGTTGCGCGCTTGTGTCATTGATATTGGGGGTTCATGGGATCAGTTTCTACCGCTCGTAGAGTTTGCATATAACAACAGTTATCTGTCGAGTATTCAGATAGCCCATATGAGGCTTTATATGGGAGACGGTGTAGATCTCCAGTCGGTTGGTTTGAGCCAGGCGAGGCTAGGCTTTTGGGGACAGACATGGTATAGGATGCTTTGGACAAGGTGAAGGTGATTAGGAGCGGCTTCGTACAGCACAGTCAAGACAAAAGAGTTATGCTGACAGGAAGGTCTATGATGTGTCTTACATGGTTGGGGAAAAGGTTCTACTGAAGGTTTCACCCATGAAGGGTGTTATGAGGTTTGGAAAGAAGTGTTAAATTGAGTCCTCGGTTCATTGGGCCTTTTGAGGTGCTTCGGAGGAATGGGGAGGTGGCTTATGAGCTTGCCTTGCCACCTAGCTTGTCGAGCGTGCATCCGGTATTTTATGTTTCTATGCTCTGAAAGTATATTGGCGATCCGTCACATGTTTTGGATTTCAGCACGGTTCAGTTAGACAGTGATTTGACTTATGATGTGGAGCCAGTGACTATTTTGGAACAACATGTCCTAAAGTTGAGATCAAAGGA